GAGCTCAAGAGCTCGGTCACTGCCAGCCTCAAGAGGCCTCACTCTCCACTTCTCTGCAGGAAGAAAAAGAAAGTAGGCCTCACTTCTTCCGCTTCCTGCATCCCTGGCGAAGCCGCAAAAACTCAAGCCTCCACGCCTTCACCTTGGCACGCTGGGAGGCGGTAAAATTGACTTGTGCCAGTTGGAAAGTGCCTTCATCCACATATTGTTTGGCGGTCTTGTTACAAGACCACCGCCCACGCGCCACTGTGGCGTCCATGCTCAGCGTAGTTTGAAAGTGCCATGTCGCACCACCCCTTCTAAGGGAGTAAGGAGTATAATCATCTTCAGCGAAGCCCAAGCGACATAGCAGTTTTGCAAACAGCTTGCGAAAGCAGTGTGGGCCGTGGGGCCAGAGCAACGCCTTCGCATGTGGCCGAAGAGAACTGAGGTGGCATAGGCTATCAGAGCATCATCGTGCACCAACAGCACCTGTGGATTCCCTTGCGAGGTCTTGCTACCAGGGATGATAAGGCTCACCCCCTTTCCACCCCGGTGCGGGACCACATGCTGATGCGAGAGGGACAGCATCTCGCTTGTGCGCAACAGCGCGTTGAAACCAAGGGCAATCAGCAGAGCAAACTCCGGCTGCTGCTGGCTGTGGGCTAAACCCATGCGAGCTTCCACCATCTCCCAATGGGCCGGCACGGCCCCAATCGCTGTGTAACAGCGCTGCCAATTGCGAAAATATTGACTGGAGATTGGTAGCTCCAGCCTCAAGGCTGGGTGAAACCGCTTTATTGCTGACAGAAGGTGGCCCGAGTAACTCAGTGGTTCACCCTCCTGGTAGGACTGATCAATGAATTCTGCAACCTGCTTGTCTAAACGGGGTGGCTTTGAAATACTCAACTTTCGGCGCTTCACATATTTGAGAAAACGATCCAGTGCAGCTCGGTAGGCTTTCAAGGTCCGGGGGTGTAGGCCTGCAAATTGCAAGCTGACTCTATTGCGTTTCATGCGCTCGACTCGCTTTGTCCGCAAAGTTCCACCGACTGATGGTCCAGAGCGGAAACATGTAGCTGTCCAGGGCCAATAGGTAAGCACTACACCTCCGAGCTATCTTGTTCAACCTGCGTGAGCTGCTTCTCCC